ACCTGCAGGAAATGGACCTTTTTTTTTCAGCTTTAGGTTCATTTTATAAGTTAATATAGTAGGTGATGCAGTTGCAGCTAGGAAGTCATTTATTTGCATTTGATAAGTATTCATTTTAAATAGGTAATTTCAAAGTTACAATGAGAAAAGCAGTAAAGTAAGTGCCATTAAAAAACAAAACAAAACAAAAAGCATCTTCCTTCCTAGTCTGCACGTGATTATTCCTGATTGTTGCTTCCATGTATTACACTCAGTCTTTTGAGAAAAGCCATTTCAAGGTTTTGGCTTCTTACAAGTTTGTGGAAAACCTGCAATGACTCTATTAGGAGCACCTGACCCTACTAATCTCAATTCCTGTAGTAAAAATAATCCTTAAGGGGTATGTTGTGGGGTTTTTTTGTTTTTTTTACAAGGAACCTTTTTCCTGATTCAGCCCAGAGCAGGATTACTGCCCTCTTGAATAAATAGTATAAAAGTAGTGGCGCACATAAATATATCACATCAGATATTGTACTTGCAGGGTGATGTTTCTCCTTTTGTATTTCTTTATCGATCTCTTACAGGGTGGATGGGAGCACATTAGTGTCAGAGGAAATGCAACTGAAGCATCTAGGCTCACTGTGCATGACACTTCTGAGGAAAACCTTGCAGTATCAAAGGATTTAGAAGATGAGAGTAAAGGGAAAACAGAACACTGTAAGTCCCCGCTGATGGTCAGTGAAAGTCAGGAATTGGACAGAAATGCTGTTAATTGTTAAGTTGTTGCCACCTACATGTTCCAAGCAGTAGTCAGTATCATTTAAAAAGAAACTAAATATCTATTGCCTGGAGAGAAAAACATGACCTTTTTGTCCTACTAAAATATTTTACTGAACTGAAATTTGCAATGGGGTATTTTAAATACTGACTTCTACTACATCACGTGCAAAATGTGGCTTGATAGAGCTAATAGTTTTGTCAAAGCAGGCAACCTTTTTAGCCACGATGTATTTCTGACCCTTGACCATAGCTGCTACAAACCATACAACTGTGAATATTTTTGCAGATGATCATTACATTTACTACATTTTTTTTAACGTTACAGTTCCCTTCATTTCTTTCAGACTCACACACCTTGCACACTGTTCTTCAGATTCACATTTGAGCAGAGATGAAGATGTCACATCAGTGTAAATGAATAGCAGGCAAACCTAACAGGTCCTCATTGCACAGACATGCATGTAACTCTGCTCATGTGAGTCCTGCTTTTACAGGAATGTAGCTTGTGTTGTGCTATTCTTGCTCCCACCAGTAAAATTAAATTCTACACAACTGATCTTAGGGTGCAGTTACCAGTAAGGGACAAACTTTGCTATTATTGCTCACAATGAGCAATATCACAATCAAGAAATGGAGACACTAGTTTTGGTGAGACTGTGGAGAGCATGGACCTATTCAGTCTAAATGACAATGTCTCAATTGTAAACTGTTGGTCCAAATAGTGATAAATCATGTTTTGTCTAAATCTTAACTGGAACTGTGGTAACTGAGGTATGCAGATGCCTGCTTCGTGAGGGTGAAAGGCACCAGACACTTGAGCTGGGCTGCATTCCATATCATTGCAAATCATGTTTTCAATAGTGTAAAAGAGGAGGTCTTCAATAATATTGTGAAGTCACAGTGGTAGGAGTGCAAAACAACTTTCCTGGTATCAGTGGAGTTTGCCAATATATACTAATGTGGGTTCAGAATGAAGCTCCACTGTTTGTTTTCAGTGATTGATTCATCCCTTCTTCCAACAAGAAGCCACTTCTTATTCTCAAAAAAAAAAGCTTTTTTTTCCTGTCTTGCTTGTCATGATTGAACTGTGATGTGAAATTATTAATTGAAATCCAGTCCTTGGGAAGTACTGAAAAAGCCTTTCCCATAGCTTCAGGAAGGCACCATGTTTTTCTCCTCGCAGCAGTTTACATCCATTTTTCCTCTCTGTGTGACTGTGTATGGCATTATTTTTGTATGATGAGCCATGTGGTGTGGTTTCAGTACTGTATTTGTAGAAGTAAAAGTTATGTTTGCACGTATTTAAAGAATATATTTGGTATTTTAATGCCAAGGCAAGCACTGTTTCCAAGTCCGAATGTGAATGAAGACTGAAGATGCTTTACTGTTTTAAAAAAACGTGTTGATCTTTCCAGTATGTGATTAGAGATTTCCGGTTGATACATACATTGTGGGAGTACCATCAATAACATGTTTGCTTTAATTACCAGAATAGGTTTTGCATAACTTGCACAGTATCTTGTCCAAATAAATTACTTTATTACATGTATTTTTAGAGAATAACTAGGATTGTATTTTCTCTGCATCATATAAAAAAGATATTTTCTTTTAATAGTGTTTACATATGCAACAATCAAACTGATTTCATACGATAACCTTTATAATGTACCTTTGCATTTTTCCCTACATTGCCAAGTTTCACTTACTTTACTGTAAAAAAGACAGGTTTAAGTGAACAAAAGATAATTTATGTTGTTTATGTTTTAGTACTAAGTGTTTGCCTTCTGAAACTATTATTTAGGAAAGTATTTAATTTAAAAATATTTTGTTGTGGCTAGTAAGGAAAAGAGACTTTAAAATGAGGGAATTTTGAAAAATAAAAAAAGTAATTTATCACAAAAAAAAAAAGCTTCTGATGAAATCCTTTTTGACATGTCCATGACTTTGTAGCACAGCACCACTGTGGAACTATCAGCTGTCATTCCACTGGAATGTGTATGCTCTGTGCCTGGCTGTTCATCGGGATGGCTGTGCTCAAGTGAAGAGGCAACCTTCACCTGCCTCCTCTGCTACTGTATTTATAGCTCAATATTACATGCCATTTGGGGCTTAATGTTAGAAACACCTCTATTTGCAGTAAGTCCTGACAGTCACTGCTACAAGCATTTAAACTCCATGTTTATAAGAGTAATATCAGTAAAATTGTTTCTTTAAGTGATGTGCAATTCTTCAGCACTGGCACTGTCAAAATACTCTTTATTCTAAGTCACTGGTTTTCTTCCACTGCCAACGTAACCAAATAGCAATTCAAACACGGCTTTCCCACAGAAACATTTTGGCGATGACAGTATCTGGAAACTCTCATCTCTCCTGTATCTCACAGATCTAGCAGATTAATGACTTTAAAAGTATCCAACAAAAAAATGACTATGATCTAGAAGTGATTAGTCGTCATTACTGATTACAGAACATTACAGAACCCCAGAACTTAGGCTGGAAGGGACTTAAGGAAACCATCCAGCCCAGCCCCTTGTAGAACTAATGCCATCAAGGTGCTCCAAGCTGCGTGTCCAACCAATATCTCAACCTCTCCGCGGATCGAGTTTCCACAACAACCAGCGCACGATCTGAGGTCACCACCGCTGCAGCCCGGGGCGGGAGGCTCCAAACCCTCTCTGCATCCGCACAGGGGCAGCAGCGTCCTTCCCTCGGGGCGGGGGGGGGGGGGGACGGGCACAGGCCTCCGCAGCAGTAATGTCGGCTGCTAGGGCGGCGCTCCCTCAGGCTTCCCTCAGGAGCGGCACCGCCCTCTGCTCCTCTCGCGACAGGACGAGCCCGCCAACACACCTGAGGGCTGCGGCACGCAACAGGCCGCCCGCTCCCCGCTCCCTCCCAGCGAGGCGGTGTGGTATCCAAGAGCCCACCCCTCCGGGGGAAGGCCCCCGCCAACGCCGTGCCCGCTCCGTCCCGTCCCGTCCCGGGTACCTCGTCACAACCGCGGCCGGCTCCCTCGCTCGCTCGGGCGCTGAACGCCGCTGACACAGCCAGAGGAGAGCACCGGTGGCACGCGAGCCGAGCCTCGGGCCCCGCCCCGCCCCTATCGGCGGGACTCTGGAGTCGCGGGCTGCCCCCGAGGGCTTTATCAGTGCAGAGGGTTACCTGTTCAGTCACACAGCACACAGCACTAACGGCAAATGAAGCCTGTAAGACCAGGCAATACTGTCGTTAACACAAGTCCTAGGGCTGGATAATCACAGCTATTTTAGTGTCGAAACAGCTTGGAAACAAAGAAAACCCCAAATCAACACAACAGTGACATAATTTCTATCTCCAGTAAAGCAACTGCACGTATAAAAGACTGCTGTTGATGTTCTGCATCACAGGGATGGGTTGCTATGGTGGAGAAAAATCAGAACCATAGACTGGTTTTTGTTGGAAGGGACCTTGAGTTCATCCAGTTCCAACCCCCACCACACGCAGGGACACTTTCCATTAGAGCAGGTTGCTCAAAGACCCGTCCAACCTAGCCTTGAACACTGCCAGGGATGGGGCAGCCACAGCTTCTAGGAGCAACCTGTGTCAGCACCTCACCACCCTCATAATGAAAAACTTTCTCCTGATACCCAATCTAAATCTACCATCTGACAGCTTGAAGCCATTGCCTCTTGTCCTAGCACTACAGGCCCTTGTAAAAAGGGGTTCTTGTAGCCCCTCTTAGGCACTGGGAGCTGCTCTAAGGTCTCTGGAGCCTTCTCCAGGCTGAAAAATAGTTCACATTCCTTACCAAGCTGTCTGGGAAACCTTACCTTTTAGTCCAAATGAAAATTATCACACTATGAGCCCTGCTGAGGCAGAACAAACGGCATGTTACAAACTATGCAGTGCATCATACCCCTTCTGTGATGGACCTGGAAACTCCTGCCTCAGCCACTGTTCCTCCTCCCATAGCCCTACTTTGCAAAGAGAAGGGTCACACCCCATACTATTATCAATCCTACCAGTGTAGGAGATGTTGGATTCCTACTTTGCTGTCAACACAACACAGCAACGGCCAGCCAGCTAGCGCAGACTTGGGCACATGGTGCTCCACAGGCAGCACAGTTCCAACTAAGGGCACCTCCCACTGGTCTTCAGGTGAGAAGATAAGAGGAAATGAGAGGTCCTCAGTGACATAAAACTTTTTACAATTAGAATGGAGGGGCGGGGAGGGGGGAACATTTTCCTTTTTGAAGAGTTCCTGCTTCATTTATTGTGTTTAATAATAGCAGAATCTAGCACTAGCCCAGAAAGAATGCTGATCACATTATAGGCTTCATTAGCAAGTAATTTTAATTGGATAGATCATTGTCTAACTTATGACTACACTAAAGTATTTTTATCATAGTTTTGGCAAAAATAAGTAATTTGTCCCTTACTTATTATTTGTATTACAATGGCACCCAGAGATGCACTAAAGAAAGACTCCATGAGGCTGGATGCTCTGGAAACCAGAAAACGTCCTGACTCTGGAGAGCTTACAATCTAAGAAAGCTTTGTAGATATTAACAAGTACTTTAGAAGTTTTATGCTTTGTAAGGTTCAAAATTATCAGAACAGATCTGAAACACTCAAATATTCAGATTTGGTGGCCAATTCCTCATACGTGCTGCTTCATTCATCAAGTCAGTCAACTGTTGGCATCAATTTCCTCCATAGCAGAACAGGAGGAAACCTATTCTGGCAGGTCACTGACAGGTTGGTAAATAGCGCTATTGCCAAGATTCTCTACAAGCTCTAGGGATCTTGGGTGACAATGGGCCTTAAATGCTAAACTGACAACCCTTCCAAAGAGGAGAATTTTCAGTAGTTGCTACATCTTTAGTTTCAAGGCAACTACAGTGTTACGGGACAGGTTTCCAGACCCTGACACACCAAGTCTATCCATTAAGCTCTGAAAAATTCTTACAATTTAAGGTAATTTTGTTTAATGTGCCATGTAACCTATAGCCACGAGTGTTGTTACCTGTTTATCTTTTTAAGACAAAAAGTAGGGGATATACGGAATCAAAAATAAACTCTTAAAACCTTTATGTACTGACATGCATCATGCCAGAAGGAGAAAGAATGGTGATATTAGCTAACTGTAGGTGTTTTGGCTGAAGCTATGAATCTATGTGGAATATTTTTGTATCTGTTCCTCATTATCATCATTGCCATGTTGCTGTTGATAATGCTGGTACAATTTGGACCCCCAGCCTCCCCCTATCCCTTCTGCTGCTGGCAAGTGTCCATTTGACATATTTAGTATAATGGAGGTCAAGGATTTAATGTAGTTTTTGGCCAGTGTGAGAGTCTCTATTTTGGACAGTTTGTTCTCAGCCCTCACATGAGGGATCACCTCCCGCAAAGCCTGGAACGCATTGTTGAGCTTGTGCATTCTCTGCCTCTCCCGCTCGTTGCTTTCCAGTCTCCTCAAATGCCTGTCCTTACTGCTCCAAGGATGCTTGGCTCTGGCTGGAGCCATCTTGCTGCTCTCCTTGTTTCCCCCATTCCTCCTTTCTTTGTGCCGCAAACATTTCACCAGTTCTTTTTTCCTTATTGATGACTCCTCGGAAAATGCTTCTTTGTCAGCAGGGTGCCTCTGCTGTTTTCCTTTGGTTTTAGTCTTCATGTTTTGGTAGATGTACTGGTGTTAGGCATCAATGTGCTGTAAAAACATGAACATCATTAACTGCTGCACAGCTTCATGATGAGCAAATGATTGGTGCAGGTTTGAAATGTTTACTTGTTCACTACTGGAAAACCATCCCTGTCTCCCAACTTAGTGACGTTCATTTTAGAAGCTGTGAATGTTATCAGTCAAGATGACATGTGCAGACGAACAGAGGCAGATGAACAGAAGAGAAAATCCTTTTATAGAGAACAACAGATCCTCCTTCAGCTGGAAGGAAAAGGTTACAGAAGGAGCAGAAGCCAAATTAACAGAACCATTGAAACAAAAATGCAGTAAATCACCTATTTGCGTCCTCATGTATGGAAAGCCAAGTGAAAACTACACACCTTTACTTTCTTGTAAATAGGTTTCAAGCTCCTCTTACTGCACGTAACAGAAAATAGTCTCCAAGCTGATCCAGTCTTCCCATAGGAAAAGTGAATCACAAAAAAAAAAAAAACAGGAGTGCAACAGTCAATTAGGTTTGATAACACATTGCCTACATTTTGATCTCATATGCTTCTGTCTTCTCCCAGCTCCAGTTACCACAAGTTACAATAAAAGCATATACCACCTCATTGTATGTGTGCAGGCTCAAGTGCGAGATACTAGAACCCTCAAGTTTTTACTCCTCGAACTCCTGGTAATTGCTTTTTATAGGAATGGGTTTCCACTGTGTTCATGAGCAGACCACTAGAGGGAAATACGACACACGAACTCCTACAGAAGCTCAGAAACTCACAGCTGGCAACACGTTTTCACATGCAGTGTTTCTGCACCCTGGGCTAGTCCCCACCACACACAAAAATAATTACTCCCTCTTCCTACAGCAACCCAAAAATGGTGGGGCTTAATTGCAGTTTCTGCCCCAGTTCAGCAGCAGCAGTATTTATTCTTCAGGTTATCCAAAAAGACCCAGCAATGCTCCTTCCTTGCATGTTACGAAGGGCAGATGACAGCACTGAGATCTTGTCCTCCCTCAGCCCAGATTCTGTGCCAACACTACACCAGAAGGCAGCAGCCCCACAGGAACCCTGCCTCCAACACCAACCATCAAGGTTACTGGTACTATTTCCATAACATTTCTTTCTACTTTCTTCCAGTTCACATTGAAAGGTTCAGACTTTAAAACAAAAGTTTAATGCTGATGCTGTGATGTAGGAGCAGTTAAGAGTTGGTGAGCCAATTAAAACAAAACCAACCCCAAAGAAACCCACAGGTGCTCGACTGTCCCTATATAGGACATCAACCTTAGCTGGAGCAGGTGGTAAGCAGTTCCCAGGTGTGCTGCAGTAAATATCACTTCCTCTCTTGTTGCTTTAGAGAGGTCTTTAGCTGCTCAGCATTCACAGTGACCTGGTTCTCTGCCTGTGAGGGCATCCTGGCTGTCCCAGGTTCCTTACCACCATGGAGGCAATTGACAGGAACTCACAAAGCAGCTTGGTTATGGTAGCATCCAGGTGACGAATGCTGAAAGACAGCACTGAATAGCTTATGTTGTGGGAGCCTAGAAGAAATGCTAGAGACATACAGGTACCTTAAGAAAGAAAGACTAAAGCCAAGCTCTGTGACCCTTCCTGACCCTTAATCTAACTCACTTGGCAGAAAAGATGTAACTGCAGGGGACAGAAATAAAGGCAGGCACAAAGGAGACCAGTCAACTTTCCCCTCCAGCACAAAAAGCACTGTTAGTGAGAGCAAAGAAATGAGCAGCTGCTGTTGGAAAGAAAAACAGCCTGCAGGCCTTGGTGAAGAGGAGGTTTGTGGAGGCAGCCAGCAGAGAATGCTGGAAGAAAATGCAAGAGAGAGGAGGCTTCAGCAAATTGTGGGAGAAAAGTACCCTTTGAAACTGCAGGCTAGGGCAAAGCAGATGGGATAACATGGTAGAAGAGGGTGCAAGCCTGAGAAACACCCTCATGGAGCTACAGCGAGGCTACCAGGACCCCCAGGGTGAGAGCGTGGGTGTGCAAGGAGGAAATGGACACAGAGAGAGGATCAGGAGCAAGAGACTGGAGTGGTCAAGGCAAACTGGAGAGAGCAACCAAATACCAACAATCTTTCCACCCTCTGCATCAGTCTGGCTTCCCCCTTCTGTGACTTACCACTGCCACCAGCTGTGGAGAAGGTGCCTAGCGCTCGAGGGGGGCATTGGCAGAGACCCATGTGAAGCCAGGAGCAGCAGCAGGGGCTGAGCGAGGGTCTACAAGCAGGGGCCAGCGAGGGCCCCTAGCCCTGCCTCACGCCGAGGCCCCGTGAGGCCGGAGCTGGGCCCGAGCGCTGCCCCGGCCCCGCAGGCACTCGGCAGGTGGCTGCGACACGTCGCTTTAGCGGCGGGGGCGGGCCCGGCGCGGGCGGGACCTCGGCACCTCGCGGCCGTCAAGTAACGGACCCGCCGGGGAAGGGGTGGCCTCAGGCTCGGCCCTCGGGTACGGGGGGGGGGAAGAGGGAGGGAGGGAAGCAGCAGGCCCAGGCAAAGGAGTCCCGCAGCAGCACATCAGCCCGGCTGTTGGCGGTGCCCGTTTTACCCCACCAAGGGGGAGAGGGCCCAGAGCCAGCACCACAGGGCTCCTGGGACTGGAATAGGCACGGAGCTCTGGGGACGACAAAACCTTAGGGAGTAGGCAGCACTAGGCTAGGGCTGAGCCTAGGGCTGTGTGTGTGTGTGCATCCAGGCACTGACACCAGACCGCTGGATGCTAAGACAAGCAAATCAGGGTCACTGTAGGAGGGGTCGTCAGTACTTCAGCAGATGGAGGAGGAAAATGTCCGAGTGCACTGTTCTGCCAAGGGCTGTGCAAGGTACCATAGCACCTTGTGCGACAAAGGCCCTCAGCACTTCCCTCCCTTGCAAGCTGCTGCTGCTGCTAAGGATTGCAAGTGCTCAAATTCTTTGATAATAGGTTCTATTTAAGATGACCAATTTAGTGCTATGGGATCTTTTACATCTGTTCTCAGTTATGACCACTGTCTCGGTCAAATTTCAGCCCAGTAGTTATATTTTACCTAATGAAGTTAAGTCATCTTGATATCAGTTTCTCATTCCCAGGTCTCAACAGGAGCCACGACTCAGAACAGCTGCAATGCTGAGGGGGGGCTTCCACAACAGCCTCCATAACCACTGACACTGCCGTGATCTGTCATCACAACCTTAACAGTAAACAGGTTAAAAGAGACATTCACTGCCCCTCAGAGTGAACGTCTCAATCTCAAGTCAGAGAAGCTACCAATACACAAGTACTAAATTTACCTGATATTCACAGAACAGAATCATTAGGGTTGGAAGGGACCTCTAGAGATCATCTAGTCCACCCCCCCTTGCCAAGGCAGGGCCACCTAGAGCAGGTTACACAGGACCACATCCAGGCGGGTACCGACTGTCTCCAGAGAAGGAGACTCCACAACCTCCCTGGGCAGCCTGTTCAGTGCTCTACCTGATGATCTTGGGTTCATTCAGCACATGCATTTAAATTAAAAAAAAAGAAATCTTCCAGAAATAAACTGAATTATTATTGAAAAAACATACCATTAATCTGTTTACTGAAGGGTACTTACATTTTGATATCTCCATTCTTCCTACACATGCTTAATTCTAGGATTAAAAGCAATATTCACCTTTTTGAATTACACTGTTTGTATTTCAAGTACTGCTTCTTTGTGCATACACCTTACCTGAAGCTCAAACAAGGTGGTATTATTAGAAGAAATTAAAGGCAACTACACTATTTTGTGTAGACTCATCTGCTGGACTGTAGCTTTGAGGTTTTGGTACTTTCTCAACTTCTGGACACTAACAAATACATCTCACAGCAGAACTACACTGTGGACCTGATCCATTGCTGGTATCTGCTTAAGAATGAACAAACAGACAAAGAGATTATAAATATATAACTGTATTTTATTTTTAATATTAAATATTTTTAAATTACAAGCAGTTTCTTGAATCACACTATGCATGATAATCAATATACAGTAGAAATTACAATTTAAAAATGTACACAATTTAAAGACATTTTGACCTGAAATTTCATTAACTATGATATATTGCCATAAACCTCATACCTGTATTAAATTACAATAGGAAAACCTCATACCTATGATTTTGTTACATAGTTTCTCATTTACAAATAGAATTAAACATTATATATACACACACATCAGTACCATTTTATCATTTAAGTTACACCTACATCTGTGCAAGTTCAAACAATTTCATAAACAAAACTAAGTCATATTCAAGTTTCTGAAAAACAGGCTGCTGGTATTACAAATACTTATTTTCAGTAAGTTTATATGATGTTTGACTCTCCTGTAGATAGTTTTTTTCCAGTCTTGTACCAAAACCATTAACATACAATGATATTACTGTATGACTTAAAGCTGAAGTAATTTTGTACACTCTGTTCTTATTTAAGGCTATTTCTTATAAGGCTAATATACTTGGATTCCACCTTTCACCAACTCCAACAAAAATAGCCATGTCACTAACACCTGACAACGCTGACACTTTAGCATAGTGCTTAATCATAAAAGTCTTTCTACCAACCAGCCTCCTCATGAAAAAGACTGAGTACTACATAAAAATCTGCTATAAATACTGATAAAAAGAATGAGGCTTAAATGGCTTTCATTAGTGCATCAACAAGGAGATGAAAAAATGTTTAATCCGCTCATTTCCATGAAAATGGCAGTTTCCATAAATGCAGTTGGACACACAACAGATCTGTGGCTTGGGGATTTAGGAGAGTACAGGTGTTCCATGAAAACCGGACATTCTTCTCGCTTTGTTGGCTTCTCGTAACAGATACTAATTTTTAAGCAAACTTCCTTAGGTGGGAAAAAAACCAGCTTTTTAAAATGATTTTAGTAGCCAAATGGAGACAATGCCTTCACTATTCACGTAAACACGGTATTCTACTAGAAAGGGAATTAAAATATAAGCAGTCCTCATAGTAAACCATTGAAAATAGATACATGTACTTCTAAACTGGAAACCATGCCTAAGTAGCTAGTGCAAGAAATTACACAGTTTAATGAATGATTTGTAATAAATCCCCTTACTATAATGTAACACGTTTGGAATTACCATTCCTCTTCACTGTGCCACTGACAGCCAGGCAGATATTTAAATATTGCTAACAGTTGATCAGTTAAACTACAGATTTTTTCAAAAAAAAAGACCTTTTATATTATTGTAATCCAGGCTAGTGGATTAACAAAATTAAAATTCATATTTAAAGTGAGGTGAGTCAGCTTAAATATTTCTTTCTCTTCATTTCTTTTCTCTTCTGGGAACAGGTTGCTCAGAGAAGCTGTGGTTACCCTACTGCAGGCAGGGCTCAAAGCCAGGCTGGACAGGGCTTGGAGCAACCCGGTCTAGTGGAAGGTGTCCCTGCCTGTGGCAGGAGAATGGACCTAGATGAGCTTAAAGGTCCCTTCCAACCCAGACCACTGCACGGCTAAAAATGACATTATGTTGCTTATCATCATACACATCCCAGCTCACTTTGGGAAAAATGCTCCTTTATCAACTCATCAGAAAATTTGGACAAAAGAGTAAACTTTCACTTCCTACATAAGATTTTCTATAGATTTCTATCAAGTAAAGGAAATTCTTAATGTGCAAGATAAATATCTGATTTTCCAGAATGATAAGAAACAAAATGCACAACCACTTTGTAACATTCTGGAGTAGAAGCTTTTATTTAACCTTGGGCTGTATTTTAAACCAAATTATTCAAAATTAAGGCTGAAGTCCAGTTCTGATAGATTTTTCACCACGCAAGGCAGATAAGCCCTAACATGCTTTGCAGACCATTACAGAGTTTCATTCTTACTGTGGTGAGGATTATAGAAGACAGATGAGATACCTTAAATCTAACTGTGTCAAGGAGTTTGATGTTGGAATTACAGAATCACTAAACAATAGTTTGTGCACAAAGTCTATTACCTGTATTTTGAATATTGAGAGGAGTGCACAGCTTCCTTAAATTCTCTATAGTATACACTCTAAGCCTGTATAAAGAACTATGTCCCTTTGACTCTTAAATCATATTCTGGGAAGAAGTCCATGAAAAAATTCCATTCCCTACTTCATACTGAAGAACAGTTCTGACTAACTCTGAACCTGAGTGCCTCACCAGAAAAAGTCATCTGAACAATACATTGGCAACTTTAAACAACATTATCACTAAGTCATTCCCTTCTGATGGGTATGGAAGCCATTCTTGTTAAGGGCTAAATAATGCTGGAAAAAAAGCAATTAACATTCCTGTCATTTTAAAAAATACTTAAAAAAAAACCCAAAAAATGTATATAGAGGTATACAAAACCAAATTTTACACATCTGAAAATATCTAGTCCTCCCACACTTCATGGGATGAGAAGTCTCTGGTGACTGAATCTGGACACAGAGCACTTGGACCACCCTTATATGAAGCTCTGCCAAAATAGCCACTAAAATACAAAGTGTTCAGTATGTTAGTACATTTGTATTTTAGGACACTAAGCCAGGTAAACTCTCCTATCCATGTTTCCTACTGATCTGCAGCTGCATAAGGCATTCCAAGAGGTCAGGGATTTGTTTCTCAACTGAACTCACTTTGGAGTAGTAATTAAGGATTTCTCCTCCCCATCCAGCAGTTTAAAGGATTAAACTAGCTAAATGCATGGTAGAGTATGAAGGTTAAACATGCCCACACTGTACTCCTTTCCCTACAGACAGCTTCAGAGCAAACATTACTATACAGTATCTTTTGATCAGCATGTATTTCAAAATGTACCACAGGGTCTTGCAGACAACTTAAAATAGGTTTGGCCTTAAAAAGGGTGCAAAACTGGGTATTAATCATTAATCTAATTCTTAACTGTCATAACATCACTGAGAGGTAGATTTACCACAGCCCTCTGAATGGCAGCCCAATCTACACTCAACAGAAGAGTGAGCTTTGAAATTCACAAAATGGGCAGCTGAAGGGCCACATGTACCCAAATCCATTCCACTGAAATTAGTCTTTTTATAAGATACGTAAATTCCATAGTTTTGTACAGCCAATTTTAACTCTTCTCTCTCCAAGGCAGAAATTGTAGTAAAAACTGGAAGGCTCTTTAATTATGATATAGTCAGATGCTATTACAGTTTAAGCAGTCAGTAGGATTATGTTCAGGAATTAAGAGACATTATCTCTTACATCTAAAAACTCCAGAGTATATCATATATTCTTTTCCAGTTTCCTATAGAACATGAACACTAACAATCAATCTATAATCATTATCATTTAGAAATGGTACTGAACATAAGATTTCAGCAAGT